CTTAAAAAGGTTAAAAATCAATTCTTCTTCTTTTTATTCAAAAAATCTAGCTTAATCATTGACACAGGTAGTAATTTCTATAAAAATTTGCTTGTCATCAGGTATTATTACTAAGTTCATAATAATAACAAGCAAATTTTGACAAATAGAATACTAAATCTCAAACCTTAAGAACATAAAAAAAATCCAGATTAGCATAAGAATAATTCAAAGGATATCAGAGAACATCAATTATCATAAGAATAATCATAGCAGCGAAGATATCAAAAAGAATAAATCTAATAGAAAGCAAGCAAAGGAGAGAAGGAAGAAAGGAACTTACTCCTCCCCATACTGAATCGTCGTCCAGATGAGATTTGAGAGCACAAAATGAAAATCCCCAAGCCCTAATCTTTCGCCCTCCTCATTCTATATAATTCATTTCGTGTTCAACAATCCGCAGCCCGAAGCCCAGACAGTAAATGTCAAACAGAGCAATGACAAAGCCCATATCTACTTTGAATTTATCTTTATATTTTGACAAAGACTTTTTCGATCCTTCCATAACTTTCAAACTATGGAAATGCTTTCACACAAAGCCTTAATATGAACTGGAAACAGAAAAGAAAGCCTTCAACAACTTTGCTTTCTCTTTGAACTGTTAACTAGTTTCCTGATTTTATATTCATTTCTATAGTTTTACAAGATTAAGGTGTCGGTTTGATAAATTAAAAAATTACGTATGCAAAATTGCGTTGAATTTTACAGCGTTCTGAGGAATTTGAGTTTATATGGCCTGGCCCCTTATATCATTAGGAATCATTGCAAAAATGGGAAGATGTTTTGTAGCTTGAGATTGAATTGATGGTACTGAATCATGTTTTTAAATATGATTTCATAACATGTTTGCACTATAATTGTCAGATGAAGGTCAGACTACCTCATAGCTCCCTTTATTACAACAAATTAATCTCTTTATCATTAAATAGATTGTTTAATTCTTCTATTACAAAATTTGATTCAACTTAATGTATTTGTTATTAAACGAATCAATTTAATATCCACACTAATAAAAGTTCTCAAAATTTTAAAAAAATTAATTTTTATAATTTAAAATTCATTGAGTGGTCTCATTAATAAAAAGAAATTTTATTTTTTTAAAGGTCTTGAGTTCGAATAGTTACATTTATTGGGTATGTGCACATCCATTGTCAATTAACTAAGAATATTCTACACATATATTATCTTATAATCACTCCAGACTAATCGTAAAAAATATTAATATTTTTGAAATTTTTAGGTTCCACCACTACAAATGAAATATTTTTTTTCACATGAACGGCAAATGAAGAATAATAAATTGTGCGACTTTTTAAAATATTAAATTTTAATTACGTTAAAGTTTATTCTTATTCGGCTATTTTTATTAGTAGACGAATTTGACGGAATTATATAATAATCGTAAAAATATATTTAATTGGTTAGTCAAATTATTCATCTTTATTTTTTGACATTTTTTTTAAATATGTATCTGGAATCACTAAAAACATTTCCTTTTCTTTTTTAGAGATTAGATTCCTCTTTTCTTTCGTCTTTAATTAAGATTATGATTAGATTTAAAATTTATAAAATATATTTAATAATCGGATGATTAATTTCAACTTATTATGAATTGAATTAAACCAATATATGGACCAATTTGAGTAGGTCCTATTAAAGGGGACCTGCTAGGTACTTTCATTGCCCAATGGCATATATACAAGAACGGGCATTAGGCATGGTCTAACCAAGGAAGAAATGGTTTATTTAACATAGAAATCTCCAATGCAATTTGACATCATATTTAATTAGATATCAATTCAATTGAAGAGAACAAAATATATATACAAATATATATTGATAGCATAAAATAGGGATGTACCTACGAACGATCTAAAAATTTAAAATTATCATATATTTTATATTTTTTATGTATTTATTATTAAAAATTTATTTTCATTTCTTAAAATTTTATGAATTATTCCCTTCAAAAGTTTTAGAGGTTCATCTCTCAACATAAATATTCGAATTCGTCCCTATGACAAAGGATGATAATGCATATTACATATTTAAATATTTATAAATATCTATTTCTAACATATTAAAGAATTATAAATTTGAATAATATTTAAATTTGAATATTCTAATTATTTCCCACCAAAAATGTAGGCACCGACCTTCAATATCCATTATTTAAATTTACCCTACTTTTAATAGATTATTGAGGCAAAAAAAAAATCAATTTCACTTTCTTTTTATGGGTAATAAATTTGAATATTGAATTTCATTATTCATTATTCATTTTTAAGCTTTTTAAAATTAATTTTGTATATTTATTACATTCAAATATCCTTGTGTTAATTAATGAATTATGTTATACTTAATTTTAAAAATATTAAATTATAAATGATATTTAATAGAATAGGTATTATGTTAAGATTATTTAAAATTTATGTTATTAATATATATGTGTCCACTCTAAAATAATATTTTTGAATCTATCATTATATACATTGGTATGACTTGAACTAAAAATTTACTAATTTTTAAATATTTTAGACTAGTTAACGTAGTCGATTTGAGCATCTCAATCAATAAACAAGTAAAAAGTAATTGATAATTTATATGAACTTCAGAATTAGAAGATTCTTCAACTTCAGGAATTCTCACATGTTACTTATTCTAAAAGAATAATATTATTAGATTTTATTTAAAAATCTAATATGATTTATTTATTTATTATTATTATAAGGTAGTATCGGTACAAAAGATTTTTAATCATTTATTGATAAATGTTTAAATACTCATACAGACGTCATACTTGAACTTAGTGGTGGATCCATATATAATTGTTAGGACGAGCACACATGTTAATGTCATAAAATTTTTTAATGGGGGTGAATACAAATAAAATTTTAGGATGAACACTATCAAATAAATAGATAACCAACCTAAGAAAATTCGGATTTCAAGGTGAACACGTGCCCACCTTGAGTTACATGTGCAATCATATTTATTTAAACTCAAGACTTTAAATATAACAATCATCCATTTATCCATTAAGTTCGCTTCATTCGTGCATGTACATACGTATACATACAAATCATTTGAGTTGGGTAGGATTGTTTAGGAGTGAAGCATCTGAAATGGGAGTGTGGGTTGTTTTGGAAAGCCTTAAACTTGAATGATAAGCAAAGGAAAGAAAAGAAGAAAGGAAATGGTGCAAAAGCAGTGGAGATAGATATTAAGACTACAGGATAAGGAATAAGGATAGGGTACCAGTCCTATCCCAATTCCAATTCCAATTCCAATTCCAATTCCAATTCCAATTCCAATTCTTTATTCCATCTTCAAGCTTTTTACTTTACCCTTCCCTTCGTCGGTGGCCCATCCATCCCCACACACTTGTCATTCAAAACCATCACAAAATAACATTCCCTTCAACATTTATTAATTAATAAAAAAAGAAAACCCCAACACATATTTTTTATTTGTGAGTAATTAATGAATAATTAACTATTCAAATTCATTAATTCAAAAGTGCTTTTCAAATCCGTTGGGGGATTGAGATGATAGTAATGATAGTGATATTCTATGATTAAATTATCACTAACACCCCTGTTGCTTCTTAAATACTTTGGTTACATTGTGCTTTTCACAAAGCTTTTTTTTTATTTTAAAAAAATCATTTTTTAAAATTTGATTCCAATCAATTTTAATTTTTAATTTCTTTTCATATTAATCTTAAGTTTTGACTTTTTTTTTGGTTTAATAAAAAATGATTATTAGATAAGATTTGTTTAGGCGTGTTGAAAATCGAAGATTTCAAGAATAACAATAATTTTTTTAACTATGGAGATTATGTGATTCATACAAAGTTTCAAATTTCAAATTTTATTATGATAAAATAATTTTATTTTTTTTAATTTTGTCATTATTTAATAAGGTTTAAATCTCCTTCTCATAAATATTTTTAAAATAATTTTTAGTTAAAAAATAATTAATCAATAATTTAAAGTTATTTCCATCAATCTAGAAATTTGAAATTTGAGTTACAATATTCAATTCAGATTAATACATCAATAAATCATATACTTATATCATTAAATCCAAAAAAAATATTTAAATTACTAAATTCTATTTTTAATGGGTAAATTACAAATTTCATCATCAAACTTGACTATCTCTCCTATTTTGCTTATTGAAATTTAAAATTTTTCAATTTTTTCACTTGACTTAATACATTGAATTTTTTTGTCACTATACCGTTATATAGTTAACGAAGTTAAAATAACAGCATTTAAAAAATTCACCAAAATGACGTCGTTTTACGTAGCTCATTTTTAACGACGTTACTAAGAAAACGGACTGAGTGATAAAAAAACAATGTATTAAGTTCAGTAAGAAAATTGAAAAGATTTAAAGTGTAGTAAGTGAAATAGGAGAGAGAGCAAAGTTAAGTCATTAAATTTATAATTTATCCTTTTTAATTCAAAACTTGTGAATTTCTTATATCACAAAAATATATTATTCATAAAAAAATATTAAAAAATCCAGTATATCCGACACTAATGAACAAACCATACATCTGTTTTTCAGTGTGAGACCTTTAAGATTTGAGTTCACATTCCATCCCCATAGGTTCAAAAGAGAAGCGTAAGGCACACAGTGCACGGACTCACACACAGCTTGATTTCCTTCATTTGGAAGTTTAAGAAGGTACATTCTTTTATTTCGTAGTTTATTTTTTCAAATTCTGCATTTCATGAAATCCAAATCACACCACCAAATTTGCATTTTGTTTGGTCAAAATCAATAATTTCGATTTCGTTTGCTAATGCTTACTACTAGTTCAAGGTGAAGTTGAAAGCAAAGGTAGTCGATCTTGCTTTGTGTCCTTTTCAAAAAAAAAAAAACTAAAGGTTTTGTAGGTAATAGATAGTTGTGGGTGCATTCTTCACTCTTCAGATCCGACTCCAATAATGCAGCTCCAGAGCTAGAAGCAACTGGATTGTTTCCCGTTTCTATTAACAATTCGTTTCTTTTTTTGTTTTTGTTAGATTACCCAGAAACATTTAGAAAAAGATGGATGCAAATGGAAATGGTGGAGATTCGTCTTTAGATTTCGCCACCATTCAGATCCTGCCTTCTGAAAACAGGTAACTCTACTAACCTATGTTACTTGAGCACGGACATAGTTAGAATTTTAAGTTTTCATTTATTTGGAGGATCTTGTTGGTCACATCCCGTCTAACATGGGGAGGGACGGTCCTAAAATTTTATGCTGCAGTGAACTTATAAAATTTTAAGGGGGGCGAAAGTACATTATCAATAAAAAGTATAAAAAATATCTAAAAATATATGAGAATTTGAGGGGGCCTCCTCCTCCTCCAGACCCCACGGTTCATTCATGGAAATGGGTACTTCATGAAGAATCAAGAGTCTGAACCAGGGATTTAAATAGCGGCCATTATATAGCAGTAAAGGTGCCGTCCTAAACTGTTATTTCACAACCGCAATGACTGCAACAGCACCCACTATTGCTGCATTCGCGATAAACACAATCGAAAACGCGACAGACACTGTAATTTAAATCTTTGGTCCGAACAATATAACCGGAACCGTAATTTAAATCACTGGTCCGAACAATATAGTTAAGAACTACCCTTTAATCAATAATGGAATTCTCTTTCTCTGATGTGTTCAATTGTATATCATTCTCTCTCTCTCTTTTTAATAATTTTTAGGTATGAGGCATATACTTGTAATGACAGCAAAGTAGAAAAAGTGGGTGTTGGTGTTCTGGAAAAGCTCTTGCCCCATTTACCCGGGCTAGATAACTTGTACACCCAAGGCTCCATTGCTGACTACAAACTGCAACCTCCCAACAATTTAAACTCTGCCCACTGGTTTACTAAATCTACTTTCACCAGGTTCTTCTCCTTTTCTCCCCTAATGTCTTAAGTATTTTTCTCGTTTTTATTTCTGCTAGTGGTCACCCCCTTTGTACTTTCTCAGATTCCTACATCTTATAAGTTCTACTGAACTGGTGGATACTGCTAAAGGTATTGAAGGTGAGATCTCTCTTTTGGAGGAAACCAGAAAGTTTCAACTTTCTTTGTATGCTCAGGTAAATGAATATCTTGCATGTGTCTTTAACTGCCTAGATATTTAATTATAGCCTAGGTCAAAGTATTCTGCCAGTCCGTGTAGTTGAGCGAAGTTTGAGATTAATCCTATACTCAAAAAGTTAAAAATTAAAAATTAAATCCTTTTACTTTTTCAATTTAAAAGTTTCAATTCAATAGTTGACATTCTTAGTATTTTTTGTCAAAATTTGCCATCAATACACCCATTCAATCATACAAACCTCATAAGCAAATCATTATGATCTCTAGGTTGCAAATTTTGACTGAAATTATTATCTATGTCAATGATTGGAGTAGAAATTTTAAATTGAAATTCATCTTCTCAGGGTCACCAAGATCATATTCAAAGCAGCAAAAAAGGTAATTGTTATGTTCAAGCAAATTTAACGTAGCACACTGTTCATCACGTTGCTACATTCTCTCTATCATTGTTGTTTTTAGTTTATTTGCATAAAAAAGGAGTGCAATTCCTTATTGACTTTCTATTTATTTGCATTGCAAACCGGAGCTTGCAACTTCAGAATTGTTTGATTGAGGTTTCTTTTTAAACTAATTGAGGACAAAAGTATTGTCCCTTGTCTGTCTTCTGAATCTCAGTAATTTTGTGTTTCATCAATTGCCTGGATACGTGAGAAATTAACTTTTTGCTTTCATCGTTCAACAGATATGAGCAACTCAGAAGATGGGCTGCTAGCATCCAAGGTAACCTCCATTCTTATAATTCTACACTATATTTCACCATATTTGTTATTGCCACTAATATATGTATTTGATCTCTGCAGTTTGAAGTCAACAATTCATCGTCAGATTCCTCAAAGTAAGTTAACTAATAAAATATATATATATATATATGTGTGTGTGTGTGTGTGTGCGTGCGTGCGTATGTGTGTGTTATAGTTAGTTTGCTAGTGTGTTTTATTTCTCCCAAAAATCCTAACCAACGTATGGAAAGTTTATTGCTAGGAATGAGCTCTTACGTGCTATGGACTCAAGACTGACAGCATTAAGAAGTGAGTTAGTTGCTGCTTTTAACCAGGCGGCTGGAGAAACCTGCTCCTACAAAGAAATCACTCATCTAGCCAAATTTTCTGAAATTTTTGGAGCAAATGATGTGAAGTAAGTTGCCTTCCGAAAAAGTGCTTGGATCTTTTGAATTCTCGTTTTCCCAAAGAATTTGTAATGCGATAATTTTACCAAAAGTTTGGTATTTCTCATATATAACATTTATTGAATCAAATTAACGCAAAGGATAATACCATTGAATCTATTGCAGGAACTTTTTGTACAAGTTTCTAGAGCTGAGCCAAAAGAGTCAAGTTGATAATCTGTCAGATGATGAAAAGCCTTCGTCTGCTTTTGCTTCAATGAGTGTCAGAATAAACAAGACTGATAGAAATAATCAAATATCAAAGCCGTTAAGTTCAGAAACGCCAGTTAAATATGGTGTTTCACCAGCCAAAGCTGCCCAGGTCGAACGTCAGAGCTCAACTGATAGTGAGGAATCTTCTGACTCAAGTGATGAGATTCAAATGTCTGCAGAAAGAAGTCGATCTCTTATAAGATCTGCATCTCCTAGACGTTCAGCATCTCCCATGCGAAGGGTTCAAATAGGGAGGGGTGGCTCACGTAAGGCCCCTGCTCTGACCATTAAGAGCCTTATTCCTGCTAGAGAAAAAATTTGGTCTCAAACAGATGTAGCTTCAAAAGATAGTGAAGAGGAAGGATCAGAACAGACTAAGAAACCTGAGAATAATGTTCAGCGTATGAGTGTTCAAGACGCAATAAATCTTTTTGAAAGAAAACAAAGGGATCAGATTCCTGATGTTCCTATAAGGAACTCATTAACAAACATCTCTCTTGGCGCAAATAAGGCTGTATTGAGAAGATGGAGTTCAGGTATGAGTGAATCCTCCTACCAATTCCAACCGCAGAATACTTCTGAAGATCCTGTTCCAGAGCCTCCTGATAATGTCTCTGATAATGATGTAATGAGGAAATCAGCAGAAGTTGACTTGGAATCTGATACGAGAACTGAAGCGCAAAACATCGATGAGACTGTTGATGTGAATGTAGAAAGGCTGGAAGAGAGATCGTATAGTCCAATAGATGTTCATGTGGTCACAGATATAATCCAAGAAGAGGAAGCTAATGGAAGGTCAAAAAGCTCAGCTGAATGGAGTCGAAAAAAGGAAGCAGAGTTGAACCAAATGTTTAAAAGAATGATGGAAAATCAGCCTGTTAGCTGTAGCAAGCCTCAAGCTAAAGTCAGGCAAAACCTGTCTCCAGAGCAGACAGGTGGATTTTATGACCATTACAAGGAGAAGAGGGATAAAAAACTTAGAGGAGAAAATGCTGGAAAGCGCACTGAAAAAGAAGAAAAGTTTAGAGCAATGCAGAAAATTCTTAATGAGAGGAAAGCAGAAATGGCTTCCAAAAAAGTGAATAATTTATGCAAAACGGATCCTCTTACTAAGGCCCTAAATTCTGCTAAGAATTCCCAAAAGATACAAAAAATTCCTTCTCAGCCAGCTACAACAAGGGAAACTGCAAAAGAAACCACAAAACCTTCAAGTGCGAAGAAGATCTCATCTAGAACATCCCCATTGCCTGCTACTCGTAAGTCATGGCCTTCAACACCGTCACTAGATAAAACTTCAGGTGGAATCTCTTCTGCAGGCACTATGCCAACATCTCGGAAACCTCAGTCAGCACAATCAGTGCCTCGAGTGAGTCCTAAAGTGGAAAGTTCCCAGCCACAACAAAGAAATGTGAACAGCTCCCAGGCTAATAAACGAGGTTCAGTAAGTGTGAATGAGAAGCAGCAGCAAAAATTGATGACAACCAACAAAACTACTAGGAAAAAAGTTACAGCAGCACGTGGTGGAGACTCATCCGGTGTGGTTCCAGTGAAGCCTAGTTTGTATAACAAGGCAACAAAGAAAAGTACTGTAGTTCCACTGGAATCAAAGCCATTTCTCCGCAAAGGTTCTGGATTGACCTCTATCACTGGTGTTGTTAAAAAGATAAAAAATCCTTCTAAGTTGGAGGGCCCTTTGAGAAATACTGAAAATTCAATTGATGCTCAAGAGAGTGATGTCCTTGTTAATGCTTCTGTGCCAGTGAATGAGTATCATGATGAATCTTTTTCATCATTGGATCGTCGTGATGATGCTAATCAGCCAGAAACACAGGTGAACGACCACCAGAAATGTGATGTGATTGAGAGTGTTGATGAACTTGCTCCCGAATTTGAAGAGGTTTTAAAAAATATTGATGGGTCTTCACAAGTTGTGGAAGAATCAGTCATCTCACCAACTGCTTGGGTAGAAATAGAAGAGCATCAGAACCTGCCTGACCAGTGTGATGACCAAACAGGTGAAATTGCCTCTTCAGCTTGCATTGCACCAGTTGAATCAGGTAGTCCTCGCGTCCATCACTCTCTGTCACAAATGCTGCAAGAAGAAAGTAGTGAAGCTGATACCACTGAATGGGGAAATGCTGAAAATCCTCCAGCAATGGTCTACCATAAGGATGCTCCTAAGGGATTGAAAAGGCTGTTGAAGTTTGCCCGGAAGAGTAAGGGCGATGCAAATATAACTGGTTGGTCTAGCCCATCTGTCTTTTCTGAAGGAGAGGATGACACAGAAGATTCAAAAGTTTATAATAAGAAAAATGCTGATAACCTACTACGAAAGGCTGCCCTTCATGCAAAGAACTATGAACACAACTTGGATGCTCATGAGCTTCCATCTGGTATATTTTCTCCTTTGCCTAAATATTTACACGCGTGTTTTCTGTCAAATTGTTTCAGTCTCATATAGATAGATTTGAGGTGGCTGTAGGTCAAAAGCATAGAAGTAGCCACTTTCATGCTTGCAGTTCCATTATTCTATAGCTGGTCTGTTTTTGCTTCTTTGCTCATGTTTTGAAGAAATACCAAATAGTTGTGAACATTACCATTCCTTGAATCTTCATCGAGTCTTCTTACGAAAGTACTGCCTGCTTTGTTTATGCAGCTCAATCAGGCATTAGCTCATTTGATATGCAAAAATTACAAAAGCGTGGTGTCTCAGCTACTGCCTCCACTACTAAAGGTCAACTTCCATTTCCATTATTAACTTTCTTTTAGCTCTGCCATGGTAGGCTTTTTTAGTTGCGAAGTTCCGATATTTTTTGCCTCGTATTTGTTTTTTTTCAGGGACAAGGTCTTTCTTCTCCCTTTCAGCTTTTAGGGGTAGTAAGCCAAGTGACATGAAGCTTCGCCAAAGCTAGGATATTTATAATAATCGAGGTTTTCGACATCCGCCCTCTCCCGGTCATAAGCCAAGTTAACTAAGCTTCGCCGGTGGCCAAATTGTCTTACCATTTTCGCCTTGCTTTTAGTGTATTTGTGTTGGGTTGCATGTCAGCAGCGTGGGATCATCTCTATTCTTGTGTCGGAGGGATATTGATGTAGATACAGTGCTTTCCAGGATCAGGAATTCCATGCTGCTAAAAAAATCGTTGTGTTAACCATTATGTTAAAGACATAATAAAACCATTATCATTCCTTTTCTTTTCTTTTGCATGAGCACCAATTATAAGAGCAATGTTCCAGCCTCCAGGAGAACATTTGGTATTTTTCTTAAGTTTCTCCGACAAAACAACCTTGCTTTGTGCCTTTTTGGACACCAAAACAGCTGCACCAAAACGACATCTACATCAATAATCGTTTGCGTCATCGTGCGATTACCGATTTAATGTACCAAAACGACATCCGCATCAATAATTGTTTGCTTCATCGTGTGATTACCGATTTAATGTACGATATGTGATAGTGTGAGATACAAATACGGACCAAACATACTTGAAGATGTTCTGAAAATGATCATGAAATTTCTATTCAAAAAGTGTCTTTAAACGTTTTGCTAAAGTTATATTTGATAAATTTATTTATTTTTTAAGGGAAAGTGATATATTAGAACTCTACCATATCATCGCCTTGACCAGTCGGTAGAGAATTTTTTTAATATAAACGACTTAGGGTCCGTTTGGGGTTTTTAAAAAGTGATTTTTAAAAGGATATTTAAAAGTATTATTTAAAAATGCAGTTTAAAAATGTAATTAATTGAAATTTTTTGTTAAAAATGAGTTCAAAAATATAAAATGTCTATTATATACATCATTGTTGTAAATTAGAAATAATAATTTAAATTATATTTACACTTATTAATACTATGATATATAAAATATATCAACTTAAACTATAATAAAAATATAAAAATTATTTCAAGATAACTTATTAATAATATTTTTATAAATGAAATACTTTATTATGAAAAAAATATATTATCAATATTTTTTAACATATGAATATAAAATTATTACAAAATAATAATTTAAATATTTTTTTTTTTGGAAAAAAAATATTACAAAAAATTACAATAGTGCTTGCAAATTAAACTGAATTTTAATATAAACAATGACTTTTAAGTTATTAAAATTAACTATTAATTTTAAGTTATTAAAATAAACTATTATGTAGTAAATTATTTTTGAGGGAATATTAAGTAGTTGTTGATTCTTCAAAATCTTCTTCGACCACCTCATATGCATCTTAAGATTCGCGAAGAGCTTTTATTTGACATGTCACATTTTTCATTGGCTCTGATACCAATTTGTAAAATAGAAATCAAATTAACCAACAACTACTATATTATTTCCAATTGATTTTGTATTTATATGATTTGTTTTCAAATGAAATCAACAATGTCTTTATATAGACACAAGGTACTACTCTACCAAACACAGAAAAATAAACTTTATTAAAAATAATAAAAGATCATTAACTCCTATATCACCCATTAGCCTTTCCGCTACTAAAACTATTGACCTTTTATTTTCCCATTAACTTCTAAATTTAAAGAAACCCACTAAAAACAACACTTAATGTTTATTCAACATATTTGTCAACATGGGTCTATAGAGCAAATACTTCAGAACATAAACAGAGAAAGATATGTATTGATTATATGTGGTGTGAAATGATTCATACATTTTTCTTTGTTTACTAACTAATTTTAGTTAACATTAATAAAAGCATTTTCAATATTCAGGTACACAATACCATATGATTGGCCATATGAAGAGGCTCGTCGGCTTTTTAAAGAACCACTAGTCTGCATGGATGATGAGCAACTTGATCTGAAGTGGAGTGCTCCAGATACTGAAGTGCGTAATCTCTATCCTAATTACATATATTGTTCTGAGCAATGTGTAACCATCTTTCAAGTTCAATGCCGCTGCATTAATTTGACAATTTCTGTAGGGGTTGATAACCTTTCTGGTGAATGAAAGTGGATTCAATATTGACAGAGTGATGAAGGTATTTCCTCTCTTATTAACTCAAACTTTTTCTAATAATCTGATTATGTTTATTTCTTTTGTTCATTAGGGAATAGAGAAAATTAAAGCAGCCAAGAACAAGTCCTCACAGGGCCGGTAAGTAAAGCGTAGTTACATAAAATGATGTTATAAGTTTTTATGCTAATGCTTACTATGTCTTATACCCTTCTCTTTCCAGGTTAGAGTCATTTTTTAAGCCAGTTGCTAACACATCTGCACCAATTAAACGGAAGGTATAGCTCCACTATGTATTTTGATTAACCATCACTATATGGTTCGCTTCTCTTACCTGGCTGCTGATGTATTTACAGTTTTATTTGTTTCAACTGGTTGCATCTCATATATCATGTTACTTTATTTTTCTTTTGAATCTGCATTAATGGGTTATTTGTTTGCCACATACAGTTATTGTTTACTTGCTACATGAATAAACTAAACTGCTTGGCCTTTCATAATTTGGTTTGCCTCATGCGGGGTTTTGTTATTTGGTAAGATTTTTATTTATATAAAAGAAAGCACAAAAGGTCGGTTTTTGTTTTGGTTTTAAAGTTTTGAGAAGTATATTTGGAGTTAGATAATCTTCATAAAGGGGAAAGTATGGAAGGTAATACACTCTTCGATGCTTGCATCTAGATTGGTTGCCTTTTATAATTTCTCGGTGCACTTGTTTGCAAGGAACCAAATGCATGCTTTAATTTCCTTAACCAATGCTAAGCTCTAAGATATTTTGTCCACTAATTTGTAATCGTTCCAATCCCAATGGTATTGCTAGAAAGCCACCTGTGGGGTTGCATTTCAAGCACTCAGTGATATTTTCAAGAGGTGTCTCTGCTTTGTCCTTGAAGCTGAAAACTGGACTCTGCAATCATTATATTTATGTCTTGCTTTATTTTATAATGTTCTGTTGAAGGTGTTATACAGGCCTCGGCACTTCTAAGAAATCGTGTTAGAGCAAATTTTACATGTTAATAATTCATGTTTCTTACGTATTATTTTCTCATTCCATGTGTTTTAGTTTTTTTTGTTCATTCTTCTCTAGGGATGTAGACCATAATTGTATTTGTTTTGTGGTGTCACTTATTAAATTATTTATTTAACTACTCGATCACAACAATACCATCATTACTCTCTTTCTCTACAATTTGGATTCGGGAGTTGATTATGCATTGATTTTGTGGCTTACATGGATTTTTCCTCATCGCCGTGACAGGAACCTGAGAAGACAGCTAAAGAAACTACTAATAGAAAGCTCAAGGCTGGTGGGGGTAAGAAAAAGAAATAGTTGAACTGCTTTTGGATAAGATTAGACTTTTTTTTTGATGTATCTTTACTTTTAACTTATTGGCTTTGTATTTTCAAATACGGTAAATTGGAAACTTTGATCTTTGATTAGTGTATGAGCATGGGACATATATTCAATGTGGCTTTTGAGGTTCCAAAACACAATCTCCGGCATATCAAAAGCTCTTGAAATTTCTTACGTGTCGTTCCATACATTGATTCCCATGATCCTGTTATCGTTTTCAGCCAGTTCTTTTCGAGTTTCTTTTCCTCCAGTTAATGTGTACCAGCCATCGTCCTCAAGCATGCATGTCTTCTCCACTGCCGGTATCCCAATATGATGAACCTTTCTATGCGGTTCTTATCAGATGAGGGTCATATGCTTCATCCAATTCCATATCTCTGAAAACGAAAACCCCCTTCATCATCTGATCTTGCTTCAGCCTCAGATCAGCAGCAACCTGCAACATTCTATCAAACACTTTCTTGAAATCGGCATTCTTGAAGACTCAAGTCTTTGACATAAGTGTATCCCCTTGGATCAAAAACATGAAGCAATACGATTATTCATCGTTTCAATTTTTAAATTTATCATTGGGCAGTTCTCTCTGCTAAGCAACGTATTTATCCGATAATTTGTGGCTCTATGGACTAATATTTCTTTAATTGCCATGCCTATTGTAGAAATTGTAGAACTTACTTAATGCACTAGTTATTGTGCTCCTGTAACAGCTGTTGATGTACCATTTAGTAAGACAGCCCTAAAAGGAAGGAAAGAAGTAAAGAACGAAAAATGACTCAAAACGCTCCTTGTAATAAGATCACTCCATGCTGCATTCAATGATCAAAGAAAGCCAGAGATGGCATTTAGAGAGAAAAACTGAGCCTTCGGTCAATCCATAGTTTTTCTAACTGTAGCTAGCCTTGTATTTAAGAGTTCTTTGAGTTTAGGGTTTAGAGGTAGTAACACTGACATAAGTGTATCCCCTTGTATAAAAAACATGAAGCAATACAATTATTCAATTTTCCCTTCTTTTCAAGGCACTCCACCATTGTCCTCCATTGCAAGTCGGCAACCTCGCCTGCACCCTTAGAAGAAGCAACGATTACTTGTGGAAGCAATTGTTCCATCAGTTTCCCTCATGCCCTGGAACACTATTTTTTGCAATTCGGCAACCTCACCTGAGCCCCTTGAACAAGCAACGATTATGTGTGGAAGTAATTGTTTTTCAGCTACCCAGCAAGACCCAAAGACCAAATCCTCAATCTTTTCTCTTAGATACGTAGTGGTGTCCCAGTGGAAGTGGGAAATCGACAAAGGCTTATGAATATGATCCATTGGCTGCTGAGATTCTCAACTGAACCAAGAGGACCGTTCAAGACGCACTTGAAAGATCAACCGTCATCGCCTACCACTTGAGCACCATAAGGAATGCTGATTTCATAGCAGTCATTCACCGTCAAAAAAGGTCAGTTTTAAGTTTCACCGTTGATGTATACCGCTATGAATACTTGAGCATCCACAAGTCCCGATTATTACTGGACTGGACTGAGATACTAGAATTGCTCTTAGGAGCTGTACTGGACTGGTCGTGGCCGACGGTGTAATATTGCTGATTTTTAGCATTGTTCTTTGCTGCATAATCAAAACTATCTCGAGACACATCATGAGCTCAACAAGGATTCCAGGTTCTGGGCATTGATGTTTGTTGTTCTTGTTGTTGTATCGCTGTTGTGTTAAGCGTTGAGCACATACTTATTCGCCATAGTCGGATGTAAGTTGATACAGCGGGTGCATTCGATGTGCTTTGAGAAAGTGAACATGAATATAGGCTATTTCAATGTGTGTCAACACTAAAGTGGTGCAATCAGAACTAGGCTGTCAACGGATACGGTTTTGGTAAGAAGGGTGGTCGGGAACTCGCTGGCTATTTTTGCTCAAGAGTGCGGCCACTACCGTCACTGATCTGGTCATTGCATTTCAAGCAAGTTCGGAACTGGATCTAGCCATCCTTACTTTGCTACCTCTTATAGGAAAAAGAAGGTATTGTGTGTGTGTGAACATAAAGCTTCTAATCTTCATATATTACAATTCTAAAGCTCACAAGTTTCCAGTATGCTTATATAGTATATATACACATACAATCGTATGATTTTACATGGCATAGAATTAGCAGTAAATGATTACAGCTTACCTCTCAACAACCAATCTAATTTGCAAGCCTGTCACCAAATTCTTTGCTATACACCTGAATCAAGCCATTGTTGTCGGCTAGTCGGAGCTTTTGTTCAGCATCATCTTGCATTTGACATCTTTGTCCTCGAAATTACGCATAAATTCAACCTGCCGGTGTTAAAAGAACCACATTCACAAAGAAAAGAAACAAATGGAACATTCATACAATGATATCGAAAAGATCATCCGATTAGTTCAAAGCTAAAATAACCATTTTACCTGTTTCTGGAACAAATCAAACTCGTCAGTACTTAAAGAACCATCACTGTTTGAATCAAGAAGCTGCATCATCTCTCGGGCATCTTCCCCTGATGCACCGAGCTCTTCCATAACTTCCATCAGTTCCTCGATGCTAATCTTACCATCACCATTCTTGTCAAGAAGGCAGAATACTTCACCTTTTTGACCAAACTCGAGGCCTTTATGAATTGTGGACGGAAAATCTTTAAGCCGCAGCGCTGCAAGTTCGGCTGCTGCAATCATTATGGCCTTAAGTCTCTTTGCCTGAGAATAAACAAACGGCTAATCACTTTAAACTATGTTAATAAGAGAAATAACCATCACTAAAGTAGACTAATGACCGGTCTCGATGCACACCTCTTCTGGGTCAGTTAAGCCACCTTTGTACAACGAATGAGCTGCAGTTCCACCGGTGGCCAAACTGTCCATTTCAGTAGTGCGTATTTGTATCTCCATAAGCGGTCTAGTCGTGCCATCATCACTCACATCGACTGCCATATGCAAGCTCTTATACCCATTTGCTTTCGGCCTTGCAATATAGTCTTTTGTTCTATGAGGTACTTCTTTCCATAGTGATTGAACAATTTCATGTGCCCTGTAGCATGCTCTTTCCCCTACTTCTGTCGTATCTATGCCGGACCTCGGGCTCAATATGACTCGTAATCCCAGAACATCGTTAACCTCTTCTGGCTTACGCCCATCTCTCAAGAGCTTCTTCATTGTGCTGTACCGGCTTTTGTAGCGGCCTTTAACAGAGATGCCATCGACCATGTCAGCTAAGATAGGATCAGCTTTTAAAGCTTGGCGCAGCTGTTCCTTGTATATGTCAATCAGAGAATTATTTCCAGTCTCATGGCTTCGTAGCCACGTATCGACGTATAGGTAAGAATACGGAAAGAGATACTGAAAGGAGAGATCCTCGAGCTCGAGTGACAAATAGTTGGTTCCTACAGCGTGAGCTAAGGGGGAATATATCTTCAAAACCTCGAGAGAAAGCATTTGCTGTTGATACCTTGGGAGGTAATCCAGATGCCTCATCATGTCGAGCTTGAGAGCAAGGTCCAAAATGAGAGCCCTGATGTCGTAGTAAGTCAGACAGAATTTCCGAAGGGCGGCCGAGCTATCATCGTCCAGAACATCGACTTTGGAAGGGATGTTCTTCAAGCGCAAGCTCTCGTGCAAAAGATGAGCAGTGGCGATACCGATTCGATCTCGAACTTGATGGATGGAAATGGCACCTGCCTCCACAACTTGGATCAATAAACCAGCTGAAATAACTTCTGCATCCATCTGCAATCAAGGTTTGATATTTGTTACCACCTTCAGAAATAAAGCATGTACACGATTACAATATATTATGTGAATGCAACATGGTTAACTTTGCAAATTAAGTACTGAAAAGTGAAAACCTCATTTCAGTCCTCCACAGGGTTGTAACTGAACCGATATTGAATTCTATTCGCGTCCATTCATTTGAAGTTATGTGTTCATCTCTACTCTCCTCAATTAAATGAATTTATTCGTAAATATGAGGAATATGCTTTCAAACATGTTCACGGAACAAATTCACACACAATAAACAAACAAACTTAAATAAAACACACACACACACACACATGTATAAAATTATAAAACTTTATTCTTGTCGATGGAACAAATTGATCTTGTTTTGGCTGTGAATCCCATTTTGATTTGGACGGAAAGCTACGATTGGTGAAACTAAAATGATCGTTGATCGGTGCTTTGGTAATGTAAAACGACAATCATGAGGAGAAGGAAAAAGTAGAAGGGTGATCGTTAAAGGTAACTGCCCACTCTTCTTTTGTTGAGTAAAGGAGTATTTATAGATTGATAGATTAAATAGGTTTTGGAAATCAGAAATTAGATTTTGCTCTGTCGTAGGATTTATCTATAAGAGCCTCTATAATTGACCAAAAATCTATGTATAAATGATGTAGGCTACCACAAAGTTCGGAGACTTTCGTTTCCGGAAATATAGCAGTTCCATAACAAATAAAATAAAAACACAAATAATTATGAAGTGAACATATGACTCTTCAAATTCAACTCGTTCTTATCAACGGATTAATTTAAGTGGTAAGAGTTTGAGTTTTTGTATATATAAAAAAATTTCTTCTGGAGAGACTCGTGCATCAAAATCAAGAGTGCAGTTCATGGAAACTGGGCAAATAAAAATTCAATTCAATCCTCAAGAGTCCTATTAGTGTTCATGTATTCAGCTGGAACATAAAGATGGAACTGTTGACGAATAATTCATGGAAATTCAGTCGATGGAAGTACCTGGAGATGGGCAAGAAGTAGAGCGAGAGACAAAGCCTTAGAGAGGCAAGGGCGGCCATCAGGGGCATGAGGCAAGGCCTGCAACATTGGAATCGACAGCTTCAGAGACTTGAAGAGCAAACGAGATGAGCTGCTTGATAACACGTTGATCTCCTGTGTCAATTGATTGAACGCCCCCACGAGCTCCACCACCATCTTCCCTCCTCCACTCTGCTCCACCGCCGCCGCCGCCGATGCTTCGGCTCTGCAAACGAACACCCCCTTCTGCTGCTGCTGCTGCTGCTGCTGCTTTGGAATACACGATGAGAAGAGGGGTAATAGTTGGGATTTGGACAGGCATTCTCCGACCCTGAATCTAGGGAATAGTGCCTCCGACGTTGTTACTGCCACCATGTTTTCTGGTGGATTATTACAGCATCGTCCAATCAAATGAAAGCTTGGAACTCGTTATCCCTCCTAATACCTTGTTGGTGTGTATGGCTGATATTGATGTTCATAATATGTCTGTGGTCGAGCTTGTTGGAATTTGGTAGTTGAGCTTAGTGCCTCTAATTGATTAGGTGAAACACGTTGAGGTTCAGTTCACTAGACCAGACAGCACAAATAACATTTCAAACTCGGGCTTAAGCCCAAGTCCCCCACTCCTACATTTAGGAGCTCAGACTTAAAGTTTAAAAAGACCTGATCGTATTTATTTGTCATTATTAAAGGTATTTGTATTTGATTTATTTTACATTCTTAAGTATATTTCTTTTACATTCGTTTAATGTTCAACCACCAACACTTTATTTTTATTCTTTTATTTACAAGCTAAAGAAATATTGAAATTATGTGACTAACCCTTAAGCTCCTTAGACAATAATTTTGAGAAAATTTCGTTCTAGAATAGATAACGTAGACCTACTTAATCTCATTTTTTGTCCCTTCAAATTTGTACTCATTCGTTCAAATAGTTTTATAAGTTCATCCTTTCTAATACTTTCTTTGTTCACTAAATTTATTTGTTTTAGATTTTAAAATTGTTCCGTTCAAAATGTTCTATTAAAAATTCAACAAACAATATTATATTTTCTTTTTATTCTTATACGTCTAATTCTTTTATACTAACAAAAAAATCTATCGAATACCGATTATTTTTAGAATAAATTTTCATTTTTCTCATTTTATAATTATATGGGTAATTTTTTTTTTGAAATTATACACTTAATCGACATGGGACAAAATAATAGGGCATATGAAATATAAAATTTACATCCGTTTTTACTATTTACATGATTACCTTTCTAGAAATTTGTATGATCCTCATATTTATGTAGGTTAAATGATTGATGTAATAGCTTAAGCCTCCATTAAAAAAATATGGTAACGAATGGGATTATTTGTAAACAAAGTTAAAAGATTTATTGCTAACTATGTTACTTTCAATTTCCAAATTATCTCTTTAAAAAAAAAGTAAAGAACACAAATGATCCTTCGATTATAGGTATTATTGTATTAAGATCATTTATTATTAAAAATTATTAAATGGTCCTTTAATTATAGAGTATTTCTTTGTTGAGTCTCTCGATTATCAAAAGTTATAAAATGGTCACTCGACTATTCATTGTATCCCAAATTTATCCTTTTCCATTAAAAATTAGCGGTGTCTAAGCTGGACGTTAATATGATGTATGGGGTGTGATAATCATTTGAGATTATGAGATCAAATTTTATCATATAACGATCAGTACGTTAACGTTCAACTCAGAATCCTATTAATTTTTTAACGGAAAAAGACGAGTTTGGAACAAAATGAATAGTCAAGTGACCATTTTGTAAATTGTAAAAATTAAGGGACTCGACAAAACAATACTCTATAATAAGAGGATCATTATATAACTTTTAATAATCGAAATACTTAATAAAATAGTACCCTATAGTTGGGGACCATTCGTGTACTTTACCCTAAAAAATATCTAGATGTTTGATTTTTTACTAAAAAAGAACCCGAATAAATAATGTAAAGTTTAAAATATAATTTGAAAGTTTGATTGGAAATCAGTTGGATTAAGTGAATATTTGTCAATTCGGCAGCAAATGACAAAAATTTGTAAATCATTGCTTAATGTTTCTATATATTTTAATTCTTTTAATGTAAGTATTTTATTGTATATGGAATTTAAAAAAATAGGATGTATTATTTATATTATAATTATGGGTAAATTACACAAATAATAATTGAACTTTTCTCTCTCTCCATTTTGGTCATTGAACTTTAAAAATTTTCAATTTACTCACTAAATTTTGGAGATTAAATATTTTTTGTCACTCTGCGTTAGATAATTAACGAATTTATGACATGATAATTTACATCAAAACGACATCGTTTTAAATCCATAAAAAATAAATTTAGACCAAAACAATACCGTTTTTGATTCCTTGTAATTTTTTTCTTCTCATTTATCGCTTATTCCCCGTTTCTTCTTCTTTTTTCACCTCCATATATCTCTTGGTTTGAATGCCCCATTTCTCTCCTCTGTTTTCTATTTTATTTTGATAAAAGGATGTTGATTTAAATATTATGGTTTAAACGTCATTTAAATTCTTGTCATTTTCGAATTTAAATTAATATCTCTTAAAATATTTTTTTATAAAATTTTACAACTATAAAATAAATACTTATCAAATATACAAAATTAGTTCATCTTCTAAATTTAAGTTTTATTTTCTTCACTTATAATAATATAAAATTACAAGTTAAAACATTAAAAAATTAAAATGTATATTGATTCTTCATAGAATTTTAATATTTGGAGTGAGAGTAAGGGTTTAACTTAAAGAAAAACTAGAATAGAAAATCATAAAACATATTTACAATTTCATTAAAATTGTCATTTTTTTAAAATTATGAAAAAAAACATTGAGAAACTATATAAAATTTTAGTTTTTATTTCATTTAAAAGTTATATAAAATTTTAATTTTTATTTCATTTAAAAATTATCCAATCATAATTGGAATGTGTGATATACTGATAGAAAAAGATTAATATCATTTTAGATAGTTTTTATTTATTCACTTTCAAAATGTACATTGAATAAATTATTTTTCTTGATTCATTCTAATATTATTAGAATATTATATTTAAAGGTGAGTATTCAATCGAGTCGAGTCAAGTAAAAATATTTGAGTTAGTTTAATTGATGAGTCGTATTTTATGACTTAAATTTTATTCGAGTTGAGATGAGTCAAGCTAGAGACCCTATAAATTTAAATGTAATTGTTTATGATATTATGGTACGAATTGTTTCAATTTATCAACTTTCTCTAGCCATATAAGATATACATATATATTTCTTCACATTTTTTTCACATTATAATATTATTTAATAAATCAATTTATAAAATATATTATAAGATTATTTTTTAAAGAACATATTTTAAGAATAGATTATTGATGAGAATATAAAGGAGTCAAGGAATTGATAGAAAGAAAAAATATGCAAAAAATACAATTAAAAAACCAAATTGAATAAAATAAAAGTTAAGAGACTAAATTAAAAAGATGAAAAATGTATTTAAAATAACAATCTAAGTTACATATGAATTTTATAACGGTAGAGGAACATGCAATTTAAATTTGATAAAAAAAATAGACTTAAAATAAACGGTGAATTGAAGAAATGGAAAAATAGATGAGGAACTAAATTAAAAAATAGTATAAAAAAATAATTGAAGATACATAAGTATTCTAAAATAATTTAGGAGCATGTGATTCAAATTTGGTAAAAATATACTTAAAATGAAGGAGGAAATGGTGGAATAAAGAAACCATGGACCAAATTACAAAACTATCAAAATACTCTATTAAATTTTTGGTTTTACAATTAACTTGAAAATTTTAAATTCCAACTTGACTCAAACTTGAAAATCAAATTAACAATCAGTGTTAACTAAAATAACTCGAATCATATAACATAAAATTTAAAAAAAATCAAAATTTTAATCGATTCAAGTTTTACTCACCCATAATATATATACGGACTAATGCACGCTTAAAAATATAATTACTGAAACCAGATCCCTAAGAGGGAATATGTAAATTCTATAATAAAGAAACTTAAAATGAACTTTAACCTAGAATTGGATATAGGGAACGAATTGGTTAGTTTGCTTAGAAAAGGGAGAAAACTCAATTCAACTCATCAATTCCATACTTTAACCGATGGGCTCTAATCTTAATCAATTTAACATTGATTGCTTTGGTAAGCTAAACCAGTAACAAAAAATCCCCTGTTTCTTTAAAAATAAAACGATAAATTACGTATTTAGTCGACTGTGTGTTCTTATAGTTTTGTTTTAGTTACTCACCTAATTTTTTAATTATATTTAACGTTACATTTTATGTTCGTTTTAATTACTCGTCACTAAAAAATAAGCAAAAACTACTGACGTGATAATTTTTTAATGACGATGTGATATTATATATCTCTACAAATGAAAAAAAAATTTAATTATTCATTGTAAACATAAACATAAAGATCATTGTATCAAATGTATCACAACACCAAAAGTAGTAGAAACTCCAAAAGAATTGTATTTCTATAAAATAATTATTTCTCTTATAATTATTAAGATTAGCCCATTTCCTCTCTATTTACATAATCAAATACTTATTATAAAAATATTTATCTTATTATTTATTTCGTATAAATAAGTTTAATCACTAAATAATTTTTAATCATTAAAATTACAAAAATACAATTTAATTACCGACAAAAATTCAAGTCAACATCTAACCAACATCCTCTTTAAGCAGGTGCCATACACTAATTAAACATTAACATGTGAAATTATTCCACGAAAACATAAAAACAGTGTTTTGACAACTTGATTAGCTGGGAAAATTTTCATTAAAAAGTGACGAAAATATCTGTTGGTACCATAAAGCGACAGTACGATGGAACTCTCTCTTCCACTCTAGCCTCTCTTTTCAATGTAAACTGCAAACTGGGAAAGTTTTAGGAGCTTTGACTTTCATTTTCTTTCTTTCTTACATATTTTTCCTTTTAAAAGAGGCACATCTGCACATGACGGAAAAGAGAAGCTGAAGAAGTAAAATTCCACTTGGAAACTCTGTCTCCGGAGCCGGGGTTTCAAGGTTCATCCACGATAGATCCAAAAATATTTGTTTAGGTTGGTCACACGTAAGTTAATAACATAAAAAAATTTAAATGGAACGATTACAAATAATATTTCAGATGAACACTGTCAATAAAATAAGTAACGAAGAAAGTTCATATTAAAGAGTGGGCACAAAAAAAATTCAGGGTAGACACGTTTTTTTTCTTCATTTTCATTCCAGTCATGATACATTCTCTTTTCTATTTTATGTTGGATTTTTACAAGTTTTCACGTGCATTGGCTTTGAAAAGTTAACAATGAAAAAGAAAAATAAAACTTTAAATGCGAGTAAAATATTGTCTTTTGTGGTTTTCCATGATATTTTATCTGGTAGCATTCTGGGTTCTCTAGATTGTTCATTTTCTTTTGGACATTCTTGGATTTTGTATTTTTTTTCAATTTTTGATTCAGCCTGCATTAATCTTTCATCAGAATGGTTGTTTATATTTATTGTTTCTAATATGTGTGCCACTATAGTCAGATCAAATTGTTTTTATATTAACTTACTTTTGGATGTTTCTGCCATGTTCAATGATGTTATTACTTGTAAATTACAAATCACACGTGTTCCATTAATTTTAGTAGTTGATTCTCACTTTTATCATGACTGTCGTTGCTATTCACAAAATCCACATACATGCAATCATGTTCTCTTTAGTGTTCTATATTGTGATTTATGTAAAACCCTTTTTTTTCTGGTGAGTCGATGATGGGAAACATGAGAAGTCCATTTAAGGGGATAATCAAAGACATAGAGGGAAGAAGCAAGTGCTACAAGCAAGATTGGGTATGTTCTTCGTTTCGATGTTTTCGACACTACATTATGTTCCTCTGGTGAAAATATTTTCGATATTGGTTCATATTTCAACTATCATTTCTTCCAGGATATTTGCTCCAACTTTCTATATCTTCTTTGCTTCTGCTCTTCCTGTCATTTCCTTTGGAGAGCAGTTGAGTCGAGATACAGGTGCTGCATTCGTTTAAGAGAATGTTCAAAAGCCAGCATGATCAAGGATGAAGTTACTTTGATTCAAATCATCTTATCTTGAACATTATTAATGCTGGATCTTAGTTCCAAGAACTCATTATTATGGCTATTCATGAATAAACCTTAACATTGCTTTTGTTTTTGTTGCTTCAGACGGTCCCTCAGCACGGTGGAAACGTTGGCTTCGACGGCTATTAGAAAATCATTAACTCCATTTTGGGTGGGCAGCCTTCGTTGATAATAGGTGTTGCAGAGCCAACAATTATAATGTACACTTATTTGTACAATTTTTGCAGAGGACGGCCGGAGTTAGGCCAAGAACTCTTTTTGGCTTGGACGGCATAGTAACGAGTTATCCTACAATTTTAAGATCATTATTTAGCATTCTTCGAGGTTCTTGATTCAGTTGAAATGTTCTTTCTGTTTGATTTTGTTTCTTTTGTTTTGCTTCCAAGGGTCTGTGTATGGACAGCTATACCGCTCATTCTTCTTGCTGTATTCAATGCATGTACCATAATCACCAGATTTACATGAATTGCTGGAGAGCTTTTCGGCATGTTAATAACTGTCCTTTTCCTTCAAGAGGCTGTTAAGGTATTGAAATGACTCATGCAACAAAAGAATTGTAATGTTTATGATGACAGAATCACGTGGTTTAACCTTGATAACTTTAATGTTTGGATTACAGGGAGTGATCAGTGAATTCAATGTTCCGAGAGGTGACAATCCCAAATTTGATAAGTATCAGTTCCCCTGGCTATATACAACTGGTTTGCTTGCTGTCATTTTCTCCTTTGGGGTTCTGTTTACTTCCCTAAAGATGCGAAAGGCGAGATTATGGCGTTACGGAACAGGTACATCAGCTCACTAACTGAGATTTTACTGATTTGTGAAACTTTATTTGCTGCTTTATATCTAATTTTTAATGTATTTGCTTTCAGGTTGGCTTCGAGGTTTTCTTGCAGACTATGGGGTTCCTCTTATGATCTTGTGCTGGACGGCATTGTCGTACACAATACCTCAACAATTTAATTCTGGAGTTCCCAGGAGGTTGATCTGTCCAGTTCTTTGGGAACCTGAATCATTACATCATTGGACAGTGATAAAGGTAACTTGTGATTCCTTTATCTGTTCCCTTTCCGGAGATCTTATGTTGCCAATATCTTATAATCGAACTATCTCTAAAATTCATAACCTTAAGTTACAATATAGGAACACTCGATGAAGATCTAAATTGTTTTGCTACAGGACATGGGGAAGGTACCGATAATGTACATCTTTGCTGCTTTTATACCAGCAGTAATGATAGCAGGTTTATACTTCTTCGATCACAGTGTTGCTAGGCACAACAAAAGGAGTTTAACCTTAAAAATCCTACTGCGTACCATTATGATATCTTATTGCTTGGTGTTATGGTACTTGTACTAATTCTTCTGATCTATTCCCTCTTCGTAGTCCTCGCACAGCCTTTTTTACAAGTTATATTCTCGAATATATATTTTCATAATAATATCAAGCTTAAATGCTTCTTGTCAATCTTGGTTTCAGACTTTGATTTGTGGATTGCTGGGACTCCCTCCTTCAAATGGGGTCCTTCCACAGTCTCCCATGCACACCAAGAGTCTTGCGGTTCTCAAATGTCACGTCAAACATCGTACAGTTCGAAACTATTCCTCTTATTGTTGTATGATTCTTATCAATCTAGATTCTTAGTCTCTATAATCCATTGATCGCAGCTGAATCGGAAAAGAATGGTAAAAAGTGCCAAGGAGGGCATATCTCAACTAGCAAGCAGCTCAGAAATCTATGGAAGGATGCAAGCCATGTTCATAGAAATGGATTCATCTTCTGCTGTAAGTACAGTGGGCTTGTAATACTGATTATACTACTCAATACATATACACGCTTGCGAGCATCTTTGATTGGCTGCAAGACTCACTAGAGCAACATTTGGATTGCAGCCTACTTCAGTAGATAAAGAGTTGAAGAACTTGAAAGAGGTTGTAATGAAACGCATCAATAGGGAGACTGCAAAAGAAAATTTCGATCCCGAGATACATATCGATGCTTATTTGCCAGTTAGAGTTAATGAGCAAAGGATGAGCAACTTGTTGCAGTCATTCCTTGTTGGATTCTCATCATGTGCTCTGCCTGTAGTAAAAATGATAACTACCTCGGTACTGTGGGGATACTTTGCCTATATGGCCATTGACAGCCTCCCAGGGAACCAGTTCTGGGAAAGGGTGTTGCTACTGTTCATCACCCCCGGAAGACGTTACAAGTAAGATATTTGATGATTTATACAAAGATATATCGAATAGGTGCTGTAGTATAACTCTGATAAATCTGATGGTTGATGTGGTTTTGCATTCATATATCTTTGAACAGAGTCCTCGAAGGCGTTCATGCGTCATTAGTGGAATCTGTACCTTTCATTACGTCCTTCCAATTGGTATATTTTCTGGTATGTTTCGGGGTGACATGGGTACCTATAGCCGGAATACTGTTTCCACTTCCATTCTTCCTCATTGGCATCAGAAAGCACATCCTTCCCAAGTTTTTCTGCCATGAATATCTTCAGGAACTCGATGCAGCCGAGTATGATCACATATTTTTTGATCCTTTCAATCCTTCCTGCTTTAGACGATTTCATGCAGTTTGATCACATATTTAGTAATGTTCAAACAGGAAAGGGTTTCATTTGATGCTCACAGTGAAGGGACAGGAGACAACTTTTGTGATGCTGAGATTTTAGATGAAATGACAAACCACAGAGGAGAATTGAAGCTTAGAACCGTAAGCTTCAAGGAAGAAAAATTACATCAGGTTAGTATACCTTTGAATTTACAATTTAGTACATAGTTACTTTACTCTTATGCTTGAAATATGGAATACAGGTTCATCCATAAAATCAACATTAAGTTTCGGTTTTAGTGTTCGATGAGCAAGCCATGAGAAACAATCATAATCCTAATGTAAGAATGACCAAGAATGTTAGCTTTTGTATAGCAAGTTATTTACCAGAAAAAAGAAAGTTGAAACACGACGACCCGGTTTCTTCTTTCGCAAGTCATTTATTTCTAGTTAGAAGCTGGATAGCATCATAGCATACCAAGTTCCATGTTTGAATTAACAGTTTGGCCTGTAAACAACTATTTGATTCCCTGTTTCAAGATAGAAAACAATGTTCAACCAGATTGAAAACATCTATTCAAATGTTTCTTTTTCTTTACAGAAATTAAAATTTTCCTTCCCCTGTCCTCCTGGTACCCGGAGTATAGAGAAAATCACGGCAATGGTTCTTTCGAGTCTCCCAAACGAGACAAATGAAGATATGCATCAGTCCCTATCAACACAAAGGATAAGTCAGTTTGAAATTTAGTTAATCTGGTTTTTTACATAAATAAAATCCTTTGATTGTTTCTTTCTACTTTCGATCAACATGGCAGTGCCGGTGCCGCTGCCACCTTCAAGAATGCAAGGAAAGTAATATTTAAAGTATAATACCATATGATGTCAACCAAATGCTTTCGAGCAAACCAGTTCGACAATTACTAATTATAGCCTGTCTTTAATGTTGCAAGCAATTTAAGTGTTTAATCGATCAAATTGTACCAAACTACACTCACCATATCCTTCCAGAGAGATAATTTGAAGATTGCCTCCAAAATACTGTGCGTACAAGCGGCTTATAGGTATCCCGTAACCGTATCCAGCCATTGTTACTCTATCATCTGTTCCGAGATCTGAGTGCTCGTCCAAGGGGCTTTTGGCAGTGCTATAAAGGTATGTGAAAATTTTGGGAAGACCACGTCTTGGTATTCCACCCCCCTCATCTGATATCTGCATTTCCAGTTAAGACCAACTTGTAATGTTAGACAAAAGCAGAAATCACATAATTAAATCACATAATTGGCTGCAAGTGTTATTCGAATCCATCGGCAACTACCTTTATGGCCACATCCTCAATTCCATCGGCAACTATTATTCGAACAGGCGGTGTGACCTTATCCGAATCCATGAAGCGCTCTTGGACAGCACGCAAGGAGTTTTTTACCAACTCGAACACCATAAGCTGCAAGTGTGTTGGAACGTACCTGTCATGCAAAAAAACAGATGATACACGTTACGGAAAACAAAGGATCGGATACACGTGACCGAAAACAAAGGACCGTCGGTTACCGCATTTATGACTGAATTAAAGACACATCTCAGGAAAATCCATGATTGGAAGTGTAGTTAAAATAAAAGGGATGATAACTCTAGATGACACTAAATGGAGCAAACAGAATCAAAGTGAGATAAAGTCAACCTACGGGAATGTAAAACCAGTGTCACCATAGATATCAATTTCGGGTGCACTCCCGTATTCTCGCAAGCAAATGGCACGAGCACTCTCACTAGCATTTCGTGCCACCTCCAGAGGAGACATTTTTGTGTGTATAGAGCCAATAACATGAGGAGGAGGATTAGGGTTATGCAACTCCGCATGCTGCCCTGATTTCACCCAAATTCAAACATGCAGACAGTGCTTAAAACCAGCTCCAAGACAGAAACAAATGTGATATTTCTTCAAGAAAACGACAGACTTATCACAGCGAAACTAATGAAGTTGAAACTAACCAATAAGCATACGAATTCCGATTCTCGACATGTAAAACCGATCTAGAAACTGTTGAATCTCATCAAGATCCTCGTAAACAATCTTCGGATCCATTCCTTTCTTCAACTCTTGAACCCCCAAAGCCATCATGGGGACGACATTGTTGTGTCTCACCTTGATAGCCTTGATCATTCGAGTAAATTCCTTCTCATCATTCATATCCTTGATCTTGGGGAAATTTCTCATGTCACGGAAGGAATCAATGTACCAGTCTCGGACCTAAGAAATAATAAACCAAATCAAACGAGTTAATCTCCTCTCCCATTTCTTAACTCGAAATGAACTCAACCACACTGCAAAGAATCACAAAACTTCATGAACATGCAAACAATTTCTTTGATTCCATTAGATTACTTAGCAGCAGCAAAACAAAGACACCATTGGGGTTCATCCAAGACAAGAAATTCTAAAGGCAAATCAAGAGAAATTTGAAGTTTAAGTGGTGATCTAAAGACCCTTTTCTAGTAAAACCAAAAAAAATGAAGCATTTGGGGTTCATCCAAGACAAAGAAATGTACCTTCAAAACAGCAGGCTTTTCAGAAAGGCCATAAGGGAGGGCACCAAGCTCATCAGCTCTGCGAGCAATCCTAATGGGGAGCTCCTTGTGGAGGAACTGGGCCGAAAGCAACAAGTTCCGGTCCGATGGATTGGAGCCGAATTCCGTCATGTACTTCAAGCTGACCCCGGTCTGCTTCATGCAACCCCATTTGTGGACGTCCTCTATTAAGCTCTTGGAGAAAGACTCACACGCCTTCTTGGCCGCCATTAGCAAAGCTTAGAACTCAACCCACCGACCCAACATGCAAAATGACAAACTAAACACATACAGAGATTGAAGAAAGGAGAAGCTTGGAACAGAAATTGCATTTAATTGGCTAATAATGTAACGTCTAAATATGATACTTAGCAAAAAAGAAGTTTTGGAGGAAAAAAAGGTGGTTTTTTTTTTTTACAATTGCGGGCGCCAGGGTAGTTTCTCTCATCTTCTCCTTTCTCAGCCTCTTGCTCTAAAAGGTAATAATTAATTAAAAAAAGTTAGATTTTTTACGAAATTATGATAATCAAATTATATTTTCAGAATTTTAACGTTGATTTAAAATAAAATTAAAAAGAGAGAGGAGATTACCATACTCGGCGGTGAAAACTGAACATCTCTATTCCTCTGGAAAAATGGTGCAAGTGGTGGTGGCTCAGTCAAGTTAAAGAGTTCTTTTTCTTGCTATTACTAATCAAAATAAACATGTAGAATCATAAAGCGATATTGGTTAATATTACTATATTCTAGCAATTACGTCTGTAAAATATATATATATATATTATCAATCGATTAATAAAGTTTTAAAAATATACTATCTTATAATATAAAATTCTTTTAACGAGTAATTTAGATTTTTTTTAAATGTATTAAGTAATATCATCCAAAAAGAATTAAGGGTGTAATAAAAAAAGAATTAAGGGCAAACTATATGGATTGTTGCTTAATTATAAGATAATTTTATTTCAACTATTAATTTTTTTAATTTATAAATTATATCACTTAACTATTTAAATTTTAATGATGTCAATCAAATAATTTTTAAATTACACACATCAATCACCATCATGCAACCTAAATAAATTAATCATACACTGACCAAACTGTCTAAGTGATTAAGAAATTAATTTTATCTCTTGAGATTATGAATTCGAATACAACGTATTTTGAGATATCAATAATTGAAAGCCCGAATGTATAATCTCTAAATAAGCCCATATTGACTTTATTAAAGAAGCTTATGAAACATTCATTACTTTTATTAAATTAATTTGGATGATTATTTCACTTGTCCTCTTCTCTAATCTCTCTCTTAAAGTTATGTTTCTCTATAAAATTTATTAACTGGCGTGAATCTATAGAAGCACAGCAAATGCTTTCAATTACCACAAATTTACACTATAACAAAAGTTAATAAAAAACCCCTTACTATATCAAACACTCTCCACGTAAAAAAATGTCCCATGAATAGGAATGTAAATGAGACGAGACAGATCGTGAGCTACTCGAGATCGACTCGATAAATACTCGGATCGAATGGACTCGACTCGAGCTCAAGCTCGACTCGAGTTCTTAATGAGCTAAAACGAACTATTTAATATTCGACTCGAAAAGCTCGTGAGCAGCTCGAAAATATAATATATTAAGCTTTTATTTTTTAAATAAATTATTAATAATATTAACATTTATGTATTGATTTTTTTTTATAAAAAATACAATATAATTTTCATGTATTTAAGGTTCATGTTCGAATTTGAGTTTGAGGCTTCAATCAAGTTAGATTTAAGATTTTTTTTCATTTCGAGCATTTTCGAGCTGCTCACGAACTTCAGTTTAGGATTTCGAGTTCGAGTCGAGCTTGAGAGTTTTCGAGTCGAGTCGAGCTCCATTTTAGAGTTTTCAAGTCGAGTTTAACTCAGCAATACTCGAACTCGACTCGACTCATTTACACCCCTACAGGTTCTTACTTTTTTTTATCCCTCTAACATATTTTGCCAATTTTAAACTTGAAACAATGATACCTTTCGTTTGACATCATTGCCTTACAAGGTCTTGATGTTTATAATATCAATATTGTTTAGAGTAAATGTTATATTTGGTACCTAAATTATCAGTGTTAATTTGTTTTGGTATATAAACTTTTAATCATTTTAAAATCATACCTAATATTTAATTTTTTATTTCATTTAAATATCCGCTGTCAAAAATTTAACGTGTTTAGTGCATAAACTATAAGTTTTGGTCCGTTTTAGTACCTAAACTTTCAATATTTTCAAAACTTAACGTTAAATTTTGAATGAAGTACTAAAATGAAATAAAAACTAAAGTTTTAACGGCGGATACTAAAATGAAACAAAAAAAAGTAGGCATAATTTTGAAGTTTTTTGAAAGTTTATGTAATAAAATAGATCAAAATTGATAATTTAGATATTAAATTTATAATTTATCTTTTTTTTTACCTATATCAATACCTCACTTTTAGGTCTTTGCTGAACTTTGGGAGCCCCAAAACATTCTCAAATCATAATGATACATAATGCAAACCATATAAACATGTTTAATACATAATTTGTGACATGTAAGCTTATTTAAGGCATCAAAACCACACACAAATGAGGATTTAGCATGCTTAGTACCTATATGGCCAAATATGGTCTTCTAAAATAACAAATTTTTTTGGTGGGTTAATTTTTTTTAAATTATATTAAAATATATAAGTAACGAGGATGAAATTTATAATTATACTAATTTTATTAAATGTTATATCAACTAGTCTCATTAATATTTAACAAAAAAATGACTTAATTAATAATATTTAAATAATTAAATAATATGATTAATAAAATTAAAAATGATGATCAAAATAAAATTCTCTTATAATTAAGTAGTTATATATATAATTTACCTTTGATTTTATCAAGTCCAACGTCATATTAGATTTTAAATGTTATTGATTTTATCATATCTGACGTCGTCGTTGGTTGGATTTTTAGTGTATTAGAAATACTAAATTAAAATGCATATATATAAATGTTTGATCATTTTAAGTTTAAATTATCTTAATTTTTATGGTAAAATTTCAAATGCGCTAAGATTACAGGGACTGAGAGAAATAATAGACCATAAAGTAGAGAGAATAAATCTATATTATTTATCCTATTCCTGTACTAGATACGTGCAATTAAGAAGATTATTTTTGGCAAAGTCAAGTTGAATTGCTGCTTGCTGCTTGAATTGGTGTTGAAAAGCTCCACACTTTACTCTCATGGCATCATCGTCCATGTCGCTTTCCTTCTCTTCTTCTCTGGTCTCCTCTGCTCTTCCACGTCCAGAAACAATCTGCAAAACCAAACCCCATTTCCCAAACTCCATCGTCATTTCATCAGCACTCGCCGGCGATGCTGTTTCAGATAAGAAGAAGCAAAGATTATGGAAAGAAGGAGAATACCCAGGCCTATCTCGCCATTCGATTCCCGGGTCTTCCAAGAACCCACCCCTCAAGAACCTCAAGAAGAAACTCGACGGCAAGAACAACGCCAAAGCCTGGGTCTCCACCGTCACCGAGACCTTATCCGAGTGCATTCTCAAGAAGCAGTGGCTTCAAGCTCTCGAGGTCACTTACTCTCTCTCTCTCTCTACTTCTCGTTCTTTCTCATTCGTTTTTTGGTTATATTTTAGGGTTTTTATGTTTAGGTGTTTGAGATGCTTAGAGAACAACCCTTTTATCAACCCAAGGAAGGCACCTATATGAAACTTCTTATCTTATTGGGGAGATCCGGGCAACCCTATCGTGCACGCCAGCTGTTTGATGAAATGCTTGAAGAAGGATGTGAACCGACTCCAGAGCTTTACACTGCGTTGCTCGCGGCTTATTGTCGGAACGATCTCATCGACGAGGCGTTCTGGACGCTTGAGCGAATGAAAACCCTTCCTACTTGCCAGCCTGATGTCTTCACTTACAGTACCTTGATTAAGGCGTGTGTCGATGCCTCGCGATTTGACTTAGTCGAATCTCTGTACGGGGAAATGGATGAGCGGTTGATTATGCCGAATACGGTTACTCAGAACATAGTGTTAAGTGGATATGGTAAGGCTGGGAAATTTGATCAAATGGAGAAAGTGTTATCTGGCATGTTGGAGAGCTCGGCGTGCAAGCCTGATGTATGGACAATGAACATTATACTTAGTGTGTTTGGTAACAAAGGGCAGATTGATATGATGGAGAGATGGTACGAGAAATTCCGGAATTTCGGAATCGAGCCAGAAACACGCTCTTTCAATATCTTGATCGGTGCTTATGGGAAGAAAATAATGTACGATAAAATGTCATCCGTGATGGAGTACATGCGTAAGCTTCAATTTTCATGGACAACCTCTACTTACAACAATGTCATCGAGGCTTTTGCGGATGCTGGGGACGCGAAACACATGGAATACACGTTCGACCAAATGCGCGGCGAAGGGATGAAAGCAGACACCAAGACCTTTTGCTGCCTAATCAATGGATATGCTAATGCCGGTCTCTTTCATAAAGTTATCAGCACTGTTCAGTTGGCTGCCAATTTTGAGATACCCGAAAATACCTCATTTTACAATGCGGTAATATCCGCGTGCGCAAAGGCAGACGATTTGATGGAAATGGAGAGAGTTTTTAATCGAATGAAAGATAAGCAATGCCAACCAAATGAGTTAACCTTCTCCATCATGGTGGATGCATATAGAAAGCAAGGTATGAACGACAAGATCTATGATTTGGAGCAACTAAAACAGGAGTTGCTTAATAATTGTTGTCTACAACCTCAGTAGAACACTTGGATGGAACAAATAGCGGCCATGACCGAGTCAGAGAAGTGTAACTGATTCTTTTATGCAATCGCAATCTTATGAATTCAGTCACTGATCGATCAGCCGCTGCATTTGATTTCCAAAATGGATGGTTTGATTACTGCCTCTCCTATTCGTTTTCTGCGACCGGAATCATTGATGTTTAGATGGAGGTACAAAGATATCATAAACAGAGGTAACTATGGACTGTAGGAGATAGTTTAAGTTGCTTAAAATTAAAATATGGCAGCTTGAATGTGTGGAATCTCAAAGATGTAATTTTCTTAGACTACCATGTGCTGTGGGTGCCTTTTCTAACCATGATCCAACAATGTACAATGTGAGCGTTAGATATGGAGTGTTTTAAGCCATCCATGTTGCACGGTTACCTCAACCCAGAGGCGGAACACAGTAGACACATGTGGGGGCCATCCCCCCAATAAAAAAAATTAAAAAGGGTAAACAATAAGATGCCAAA